GCTCCGCTCGACAAAGTCGACAGCGGAGCTAAAAACAACCCACACACTTTTGAAAGGGTCCATGTTCATTGCTACCTTATATGAAGGCCCTGGGAGACCCAATGCGCAAATTTACGTCTGATCAGAAAGCTGCTTCAGTACATGCTCGCCTGATCGACAAAGCTCGCAGACACACAATTTATAAAATTCTATATATTTATATATTTTTTGGGAAAACAAGGGTTTCTTGATTTTTGAATGTCCATCTTGAAAAGTTTTTATGGTCGTCCTTATAACTTACATAATGGCAAGTCAGTCTGACTATTCAGACCGGTTTGGTTATGGCGATGCTGGTGCTGTCGACTTGGATGTCGCTGATTTACACCGTGTTGCTGTCTCTGATGTGGTTGTCTAAGTGGACGATGATGATGGTGGTTATGATGATGGTGTTGTCTTCTTCTGGCTTCAACAGCACAGCTCATCATGTTATTATTATCCAGTGTTACACAGACAGAGGTATTGCCAGTACTTTCCTATAAGAAAATAGACATAGTTATGGTAGCTAAATATACTATAGAACAATTAATTGTTGATACATGTCTTTATATTATATTGCTTACACACCATTATTTCCAATCTGTAAAATACTTTATTTTAGCTGGAATTAATTTTCATTGAAAATAATTTTTTTGGTGTTTTGTATGGAAATTATTTTTGACCGATTTTTGAAAAGTCGATTGTAAAATATAGGGAAAAAGGTATATTCGTCGGATTTTATTTTAACTGAATCATTCCTTCAGTGAAAAATTCAATCGAAAATAACATATTTCATAGTAAATAATGTACATGTAGGCATGTCTATAGTCAAAATAAGTCATTTTTAAAAATCCAGTATAATATTGTCAAGCCTGTGTATAGTTGACACACCAAGGTACTTCAGTAAAATGATCTTTATTGATGTGTGGTCTTTATATCGTACAGGGTTCTCTGAATAGAAAGCGCAATATACAGTACAGTCTCGGCTTAACTCAACTTCCATGCTGGCTATCAGCTTAAAAACATGCATATGATTTTTAAAGCAAGCATCATTAACATCAAATATTTTAACTTTGTAGTGTTTACTAAAGTTACTAATACAAGTCATTTAGGCAGATTATCGGTATTAAATTTAGAAGATGAGGCAGTTTTGAAAGCAAGCAAAACTAACTTTAAAACTAGCTAAATGTTGTTACGCTTGGACCGTACTGTATAAAACCTACATGTGCTAGGACAGGGTGTCCATTAACTGTAGCTGTAGTCTGTGGACCACTACTTGGTGGAATATATGAACCACATGTTGCAGAGATACAAGTTCCACGTTGACAACAGTTAGATGATGCCGATGTGGACGGCATGGCATCCGCCGCACCAGCAGCAGCAGCAGCATGATGATGGTGGTGTCCTGGACAATCTAGATGTAAACCATTAATTTGTTGATGCTGGCATTGTTGTTGAGTTGTACTCTGTGTTGGTTCAGTTTGGGTTGAAGTCTGAGCATGTACAACACTGCCTTGAGAGGTACTTGGTTGGGATTCTGATGAGAAAGATAAAATTATTTTAATTATAGTAATTATCTGACCATGTTCAGTTGACATTTGTGCTCCACAAAAAGTGAATCCATATGGTGTCAGAGGTATCGCCCTTTTTTGGTTCAGACAATATTTATCAAATCGTGAGCTATTTATCACCATTACAATGGCATCCTTTCATAGAAAATTAAATTCCATATGTGTTCCACAAAGATCAATTCTTGGCCCACCTTATTTTTTAATTTACATCAATGATAATGATACCTTTAATTTTTTTTTTGCAAATGACACATATTTATTTCATTTTTTCAGACTTATACTGGAGTAATTTTCAGAGAGTCTGTGCATGGAGCAGTGCCAATAAATAGACCATCAATGTTGACAAAACTAACTACATGATAATAAATGCACCAAGTTGTTAAAACTGAGAGGTGTCTGAGCATGAATGGCAGAGTGATAAAGTGTGTGCTATCGTCGTCTTATTTGGGTGTGACCATTGATAACTTAAATTGGAAATCACACATTGAAAAAGTGTGCAAAACCATTGCCCAGAAAAATTTGAGCTATTTTTTTCTTCAACTTTATGATCCTAAATCTCTTGTTATATTAATTCACTTGTCAATGACAAGTCCTCATCCAGTTATTTAGGTATTTATCATCTACTTTACTTGTACTACCCCCGGTACTTTTACCGATAAATCAGATAATATGAGGTTATTACGAGGATATCTCAAAGTATGCACGAAGACAATACAGTGCCAGTATCGATCCGACGGCGTACTGTCGGAGTGCATTACTCCTGAGGTATCCTCGTAATAACCTTATTATACATCTTTTCCTTCCAAGGATACATCATGGGAATACAGAAATCCAAAAAGTTTAGAACAGAATTAGCTAACTTCTTTGTGTTGAGCC